CCTAAAGAGAGAGACTGTTTCTCTCTCCACTGTGAAATCATAGGCTCATAAATGAAAATGCTGCTGGAAGCAACTAAATATTATACATGTCTCTGAGAAAAATGATACAGGTTTAATTAGAATTAGAAAATAGGGAAAAGAATGCAGAGAAGGGAAAATACACTCATGTAAACAAAGGTAAAAGCAGAGGAAATTGAATTCATTACATACGTGATCAAAATTCCTTAGCAAGCTTAGTAAGAAAGTCTCATAGAAGAAAAGCTGTCAAAATGGAAGATGACTGTAGAACAGAGGCCCACACTACAGCAGGTTTTTCTAGGGCTAAACTTTACACTTTAAACAATGGAATACAAAGAACAACACAAATGAAATCATCAGACACAAAAATATCCTGATAATCAGACTTATACAGATCACATCAGAAATGCAACTTATTTTTATCACTGGTTTCCAAGAAAACAAAATAACTTCATAGACTATAAGCAAAGCAAAGGAAATTAGAAGCCTTTTTAACTTGGTCTTGTTATTAGGAGGCAACATTCAGAAGTACATTGAAATACCAACTTTAGCTGGCCAGTTGTTTTTTTAAAATTTTTTAGCGAGTCTGAGATTCTGAAAAAAATGAAAGACGCAACAGTAACAACAGTATCAGAAGGGCTCTTCCTTTCCTTAGTTTTGCATTTGTTTCTTGTGTTTGCAGTAGCTCTGGAAATGGATATATCTTCCATTTCTACTCAGATGTGTGTGCTTTTCAAACAGCTTGGCTTCTACGTGCCAAGAACACCAGTAGAAGAAAATCTTGACTTCTGGCCAGACATAACTTCAGCTGTATCACATTCCCAGGTCTGTTATTTTCTCCCATTGCTTTCTTCCAGGATTTCAACTGTAAACTTTATCTCTGGGTTTTGGGATTGCTGTTTTTTATTTTGAATATTGAGTGATATATGCAATTTATGAGAACAGAAACAATGATGACAATCTCAGAAATTGTTAAAATGCTCCCAAAAGAAAGACAATATTGGTTTCAAATGAAAGTACAGCTGTAGGCTAAGTCAGACTTGAGTGGTCAGTTCAAAATGTAACTTCACCTATGATTAATATGCAAAGGCATTTTTAAAATGCTTCTAACTACTCTTCAGAAACCCAGACATTCAGTATGCTTCCCCATCTTTTCACATTCTCTGTGTTTCCATGTATCACAATCCTGGGCTTTGAAGCGTCTGGACAAGCTGGTTTTTTACCCAAACGCCTGAGCGATTTGTATGCTGAAAAGATACATAGGAATAACCTCTAAGTTTGTCTTAGCAAATACTACTCTAAAAAAAAAAATTATGCTTGAATATTAGATCTGCAAATATGCTTGAAGAGGATTTCCATGGTTGTTAAAAACCTTGACCCATTACAGCAATTGTAACACTCAACTGTGCTCCCTATTAGGTGCTGTCTCAAATTCCATTAGTGCTTATGGTGTACAGGAAGCGATACTCCCAGTAAAATGAAGTAAAATTTACCCCATGAAAATTGTATTAAAAAAAGGAAATAGGAAAAAACCCCACCCAAATCTAAAGTATGGGAAGGAAAAAATATATGTCATGATACATTAAGAAAACAGTACAAATTTTGAATTTTTCCTTCTGAAAAGTATGTTTGCCACTTATTTACTACACCAGTAGATATTGCAGGCATATAAAATGTTCCTTTTTTCAATGTCTGGATACATGTTATACATACAAAATGCACATACACATGAGCACACACAAACACACATAATCTATGGTTTAACTTCAGTAAACCATAAAACAGACACTGAAGGCTTGTTCCTCCCTTCTACAAACAATCTAACTAAAGGGTTAAAATTGTAACCCTTGTAACATCTTTCTGGTAAGTCCTCCTGCATTTGTTCAAGCGCCACACTACTCCATCAAATCAGTCCTGTTAGCCCAAAAGATAGGTACTGAAATATTTGTATGGGCAACACTCAGTTAGCTTTATTTCATAATGAAATAACACCGTACTTCTTATCAAAATGATTTACACAATCAGATTTTCCTTTTGAGAGAAACAGGACTGCAGATACATTTAGCTGTAAAGATATGGACGGGGCATGTGAGTGTGGAAGAATGGCAGAAGATTTGCTAAGACAGAATCCTGTTATCTGGTGCAGAAGGTTTTTAGCTAAGTCAACAGTAATGAGTTATTCTTTCAAAACTTACTGCAATTCTGCAATGGGAGGCTCATTATTTCTATTCTATGAGCTAAAATTACCTCTGCTTTGTTAGCATGAAACAGAAAAAAGCAGGAAACCAAACATTTGAAAAGAACTGTTACTACCTTTGCCAAGGTTATTATCTCAAGACTTGGGGATCATTTTAATAGTGAAGATTCAAAAGAATCAACCTCTCTTGAAACTGAAAGCAAAGCTGCAGGCAATTCCTCAGACTGATATATTTGTTTACTGCCTGGTGTTCAGCTAGCATCTGACAGGTAAAAAAGGTCATAAAATATATCTGTAAAAATATAGAAAACAAAAAGTTCTCTTGGGCCTGAAATCTCACTACAAGAAAGACATTCCAAAAAAGAGCAATGAAGCTGTTGAAGGATCTGGGACACACATCTGATGAGGAGTGTCTGAAGGAGATGGAATTGTTCAGCATGGAGAAAAGGAGGCTCAGGAGAGACCTTATCACTCTCTACAACCACCTGAGAGGAGGGTGTAGCTTGGTGGGGATCAGTCTCTTCCCAAGTAACTTATGACAGGATGAGAGGAAATGGCCTCAAGTTGCAGCCTGGGAGGTTTAGATTGGGTATCAGGAAAAAATTCTTCTCTGAAAGGGCCATCAAGCACTGGGACAGGCTGCTTAGGGAAGTGATGGAGTTTCCATCCCTGCAGGTATTTAAAAGACATGTAGATGTGGCACTTGGGGACATGGTTTAGTGGTGGACTTGGCAGTGCTGGTTGGACTTGATAATCCTAAAGTCTTTTCCAACCTAAATGATTCTATGATTCTAAAGTTATTTGCCATTTATTACTGAGAGCTTTTTAAGATTATTTATCTTCACAGACTCTCCATGCCTGAGAGGTCACAGAAACAACTCCTGAAGGTGATGGAGTACATAGCTACAGTTTTGCACAATGACCTTAAGTTAAACTCTCCTTTTGATGTTGACTTTACAGCAAAGTTAAGACTATACCTATTTGATTAGGACAAGACCAGAAAGAACAAACAAGATTTCCACTCTTATTTTTCCATAGAGGACTACCAGGGAAAGCATATTTTCCATTGGATAATCGGTAATACAGGATACAATTGGTAATACAGGATGTAAGTTGTCCTTGACAATAATGTTGGTAACGGTAGCTGTTACTTTTGCTCCTAGAGGTGGTAAGGAGCTCCACCTACAGTATTTTGCCAAAAACAACCCCTGCCAATCTCTCTAAACAGAGATGACTCTCAGGAGCTAAGAGACTTTTTTGTGCCATTTTCTTTTTTCTTAGCTACACAAATCTAGAACCTGATCTCTGTATATAACAGTTTCATTTGAAAATTTTTCTAATTATGTGTTAAAGTTTAAAAAGGTCCTTATAATATATATAATATAGAAAGCTCTAGCAATTGAGGACTTTTAGATACCATTCCTGGAAAGAACAGTCTCATGAGCTTAGACTCTGTATGACCTCACCACATGAAACTGGAAGCATTCATGGGCAGGAGGGCTTGATATTTATTGCTGTTTGGAACTGCAGTGCTGTTTTGCTAGGCTAGAGAAGCAAAAAGGGATACCTGGATGCAGTGAGACTGCCCAGAAGGGTTTGCCTTCCCTAAGATCACAACTATGAAGTAACATTCCCTGTATGAGTACTTCAAATTCATTTGCATCAACTGCATTTCCTGCAGCCACCATGCAGGTTGGTATAATTATTGCAAAACCATGCAGTGGCTGGCCCATTCATATACTTTCTGTCAAGCTAGCGTGGTCTTGTATTGAATACTGCTATAGGGAAGACTGGGTTTGAAATTACCTATTCCCTTACAATAACCTGGTTGGATTCCCTTTTAGTCCCTGACTGGGACCTTGTTATCTGCTTATCCACTTTTACTTATTTTTTGGGTTTTTTTGCTTTTAACTACCCACTAGGACACCCTGAACAACTCCCTGTCAAACCAAGTCTGTCAGTTGGTTTGATGCCCAAACTGAATTGCAAGAAAGACTATTCAAATCCTCTAGGTCTCAATAAATTGAGAAAATACATTATGCTGAGGAACTCAAGCCATGGATGGCAGTCACTGCACAGTCTTGTGAAGGACAGAAAATGGAACACTTCCATCACTTATCCTAGAGTTCTCAAGAGATTCACTTTGCTACCACTGGGAAACAATGAGCAATCGCTGTCAGATGAACAGAAAGACTGATCAGTAGGGTGCTACCCTGTGGCAATCAAAGTAAAGACCACTAAAGTTAAAAAAAAAGGAATTCTTCCATAGATTTCTGGAAATGTTGAGCAATATGCAGCAGTGGGGCCTTCCTCAAAAGGCAATTACTCAGAATATGACAAAATTTAATAGTCTAAATTAATTTTGGCATGGAAAATAAACTCAAAGAGAAACTTTCCTTCTCCTTTTATTTGATCAGAAAAAAAGTATAGCTGCTGTAGAACTGTCTCCCCTTATGTGTTTTAAGTATAGTGCTTGGAAGGATACTGCAGCAATAAATTCAATTTGCAACAGGGAATAGATTATCTGTTTCAAGAAACTGAATGCAAAACAAATTAAACACCATTAATTATTTTTTTTTCCGAAAGATTTGTCCTAATATTAGAATAGACTTGTATTTCTTGAGATAATGAAAAGGGTGAAATACTTTCTCCAAGATGTGCCTTGTCACAACACTGTGACACTTGTAATAAGTGACATTTTCTCTGGCATTTCTTTTTCCCATGGATGCCATAATGTGCATCGCATGAATATGAAGTGACATCTTTACTAACATGTGGTACTTACTTATCACCCACTATTCCCAAGTTGATTGTTGGATAGCCGTGCTCTTGGATTGTAGCTAGGAGAGTTGAACGGTTACTGTCCCGAATCTTTCCTGGCAAGAGGTCATCCTCAGGATTCAGCAGCTGTAAAACCAGAAACTCTCTCAGACAGTCTCCTAGGAATACTGTGCTTTACACAAGCGAGAATTTTTTCTTTGGGTTGGACAGGATATTTTTAGACACATATCACGAAACTTACATATAAAGTGATTTAGTGAATTTAAAATAATAAGATATGAAATGTGCTTGTTTATTCTAATCCTCCATGTTGTTTAGTTTGTTTCTACTGGTCCGTGTCTGCAAAACATTCTTACTCCTTATGAGTACGTGGCTTCTAATCTCAGACATTAGCAATCAAAACGAAAACTTTTCAGTTTTCACATTATTGCTCCTCTTTAAATGGTTTTAAGGGAACCTCATTGATATTGTTAACCAGATTTAAAGGTATTAATGAACATTTTGAAGTTCATTGTCTGCTTGCCAAAAAAGATGTCTCTTAAATACAACAATCTGCATTGGATTAATAGACAGAAGACTTATGCTTAGTTCTTACATCAATTACTGTTTTGGATTAAAAACTTTCTCTCAAAATAGTACATCATGGCAGTTACCTCACATGTGTATTTTGGAAGCTAAACTAAAAAACATATATATGCAAATGTGTTATATATATATATATATTATAAATTCTAATGTAGGACACAAAAGGACAATACAATATTGACAGGAGGTAAATAATAATACTACTAACAAGAATGTATCTGTCAAAACCACAGCATTAGGTAGTAAGGTAAGAATAATGAAATATGGAGCATGGGTAAATTTTATGCTTTGGCTTGCAGCTCTGTTTCTGTGAAGATTTTAACAGGATGTTAAACACACCCACTGTGCAGGGTTTCTTTTAACATTTTACAAAAGAGAATGCCCACAACAGTAAAGGACCCTTTAATGACACGCAAGAATCTTCATTCATTTGGAAGTTACTAATCAGAAAATCACCAGCTGTAATCCTTATAGCTCTATGGATTTATTCCTCAGTTAATGGTTTGGTTCCTGCATGCACCCTGTTTATGCTATGAAATCTGGCAACAATCTGTACACCAGATGACAAAATTCAACCTATGGGAAGATTTCAGAATCTTTCAAAACTGCACATATTCAAGCCATATGAGAATAGAGCTCAATATATTGAGTTAATATTTGTGGCTGGATTTCAAAAAGTTTGTGTTAAAGGACAGTCAAAACCTCACGCTGTCTTTAACCCACACGTTCTTTAGGTTTTACTCTTCCTATTCTTTCTCTATCCTACTGCTGGTAGAAATGAGAAGGCACAGTTGCTGGCCTGGGTCAACACACAACATATGTAAAGTTAGTAAATTAAGTTAACCTTAAACCTGATTTGTCTGATGTAGTTAAAGCAATTATAAAGCTGGTCTGCTGTTCTACCAACAGGAGAGTGTCTGGATTTCAACATATACTACTAGTAGAAAGAATTTTGAGGCACAATACTGCAACAAGGCATTTGGTAGAACAATTCCATTTTCAAAGACAGCTTATCTGCCATTTGAGATAGACGGTGTTGCTTAAAAGAAATTACTCTTCAGTCATGACTGGCAACATGAATTACAACCCCGACTACCCCCACAGGTTCTCCCTTGCTGGCAGGAGGAAAGCAGCTGGCACAAGGTTGGATACATTACCAAAATTTTGGCAAAGGGAGTGTGAAACCTGTGAGAAAGCCCCTAAGGGAGAAAACACAAGTAGATGATTATGGGTTGATCCCTCACAAAAATAGCTCATGTCAGCATGAGTTGCAGTTCAAAAAGTGAGTCTGCTTGGGAATAGGATGGAAGTCACTAACCAAAACACTGCCTCAAAAAAAATTATAGTATTTCAGAATGCTAAACAAACTTACCTCATTCCCTGTTGACATTACTGCAACCACTGGGAACTTGTTAACTTCTACTTCAGTTACTCCAACAGTTGCTAAGAGACCAATCTCAGATGGACCCATGTGGGTTCCTTTAGCCAGCACACATTCACCTCTTTTAATGTCATGTCCTATGGGTCTGAAAATCAGGACAGAAAAACAACATGAAAGAGAAACAGAATGAGATTCAAAGTACCTTTCCTTGATTCGTCTTGCTCCAGGCGAGGAGTGTCCATGGACACTCCTTAGTGAGACTGGCAAAACGTCAGTACTACTCATGATTAAAAAATTACTTTGAAATTCATCAGCCTTTCTATACCTTACACAGAGATATTTTAACAAATACAGACCTGATATCTTGGCCTGGTCGAGCTTGCACCAGGATTCGAACTTCTAGTTCTTCAGTGCCCTACAAACACAAGGACATCACATATGGTCAACTGAGCAATTCAAAGAAGATTAACGTTTAATTTCTCAGAAGTCTACACAGCTTACAGCTCTCATTACACTGAGACATTATGGTTTCAGCATCATATTGTTCTCCTGATTTGTTTGTCGAGGTTGTAACACAATGTGTGCTAAAACTGAACAGCATTTTAAGAAATGCTCTTTATGATGAGCTCACTAGGGGAGGACCAGTACTGAATATTGTAGTTTTAACTTCCTATTTTTTTTTAATGATACCTGTGTTTATATAGCTTTCCTATGTTACATCTGTTGATCTGGTATACTGAGTGGATTCTTTCTACTCCTCTCAGACTACTTGATCTGGTCAAACCATTTCAAAGATGGCACTTCAAACAGACCATTAGTCAGGCCACTACATTAGCAGAAACGTGGAAAGAAGTTACACACTGCAGCTGTTCCAGGATTTTCATGTAGATTCCTGTAGTGGATACTCCTACTTGAGAGCCTTGTACAAATCAGAAATGGGCTCATTCATCTTGTTTATTTACTGTGAACAAGAGACAGTGGATTGAAAAGTCTGATGCATTTCCTTGTTCAGAATGTCAGTAGTTTGGTGATTCATTCAATGCCAATAAATGGCCTATGACCTCTATCGTTAATATTTAACGTTAAGCCCTGCAAATGGATTGATGATATATACACTCAGCTTTGAGATAGTGTCAGCCTGTCAGTAGCACTAAATCTAAACTTAGACTGGAACAAATTCTGTTTTTACATTATCATGGAGTGCTTAATATTTAAATACCTCAAAGTTATAAATCAGACACTAAAGTTACAAGAAAAAAAAAGGCAGGTGAGTGTTATTTGGAACTTTTACAAGAACAGTAGTGTTGTATTGGACACTGGGTTCTTGTATCTTTTCTTATAGGGGCCTCAGTTTCTGAGTTCAAACTAAATGCTCTAAACTTAAGGCCCCAAAGTTAAAGCTAATGAACATGCTATTAGAGATTGAGATTCATTTACCTACTGTGACAATTTAAACCCCTGAAAGCCAGATAATTACTAATGAAAAAATTTCTTACTTTATCCCAGTATTTTCGCTTGCTTTTCAGAGGCCTTTATTGCAAACTCCATTTCTTTTGTACTTGTTCTTTTTGTATAAGAGATGATTTTTGTCTGTGAGTGTTCAAATTTGCTGTGCTGGTGCACAGAATGGCCTTTTGCCCCCTTATTGCCAGCTGAGGCTGTAAAAAACACTTGAGTCTTGCAATAAAAATTTGGGGCAATGGTTAGTCCCAGAATTACTCTATTTTTATGACACTCTGGGGATCATTGTTCAGTCATGAAGATTTGAAATTTCCCTATCTTTGATAACATTTAAAGATGGATAGAAGATTTTAAGGGAATCAAGTGGAGAGGCAATGATACATTTGATGAATATAAAAGGTCCTGTTTAGGACTCCTGGATTAGGGGAAATAACTAAAAAAAAAATGGTTTTGAGGAATTCAGCAATCCCAGGTTTCACAGGCACTGCAAAGTGTGACTATGGACAATATGGTGATATACAGAGATTGACATCTATGGAACTGACAGATATCCCAGAACGCTTCAAGAATACAATATAATTCAAGGTGGCTAGAGGGGCTTGCAGAGGGATATGGCCCCGAAAATATCTTTCCTTTGGTGTGTGTCAGGCAGCATTCTTGCTGTGTATTAATACATTTTGAACTATATCTGGGTAGCTTGTTCTGGTGTCTGTGAACAGTGAGCTTGATGCAGGATCTAGCTCTTGTTTTGGTTGATCACACTGGGCTCCTTTCTCCTACAAGGTGACATAAAAACTCAAAATTAAAAGAGTGTAGACATCTTTCTTAATGAATGTGCATTTGGCAAGCTGATGAGAATTTTTCTTCCTGATAAAGAGATGTAATTCCTTTCAGACATCTGACTTCTAAGGTCATTTGGGGAAAGCTTGCTATGAAATTTAAGTACTGCTACCACAACTAGAACTCAAGGAATCAGTTCCTTTGAAAAGTAATCCATTTTCAGAAGAACATTTTTCAGATGTTAAAGATTACACTTCAGTTAAATCCCAGCCCTGAAGGAGTTCTTAACACTAAAAAGAAAAATATTCTTGAAATATGTAGCCATCCAGACATGAAAAGGAAGAGAAGAAAATAACATATTAATTAAACTATACTAATTATTATGAACAGGATTCATAGAGTGGTGTATTCAAAGACAAGCAGAAATTAAAGAGTTCTACCCCATACTTATGGGCAGGAAAAAGAATTTGAAAGTGTCTGACCATACATGAAAAAACTTAGACTTTAAGCACATAGCCTAATAACCTGTTCTCACATGCAGAGGAGAACATGCACATAAAAAGTGGAAGGCAGGACAGAGTCATCCAAAGAAGTAGAAAAATAAAAGGTTACCATGTGTGTTGCTCTGCAATGTGATAGTCCTCTCAAGATGAGGTGGGCAATGGCCACAAAAAACTTGCTCAGTAAAGCTAATGGAACGATTAACAAGCAGTGAAGGCAATGGTATATTTTACAGGAAGATATAATTTATACATATACATCTGTAACCTCAGAGCACGTTTGATAATTTAAATAATTTCCCTGATAAGAAGAACAGCCTAGACAGTTTGCTGAGTTTATTATATGTAAAAATCTATGCATTTAATAAGATTAATAAGACATGAGAAATTATACTGAGAGTGGGTTTCAGTTTTTGCAGTCTTAATCAGTTTTGAACACTAGAATTTATCTGCTTATACCTCAGCTGCAATCACAATAATGACAGTGAGCTGTGGCAGAGTGGAACAGCTTGTCAGAACAGCAGTAGTAGAGCAAAGGCTGATTTGAGCACAGAACCATACACATAGTTCATTCCAAAGCTGAACTTGGAAGTTGTGTCAATAAGACATGTATCTTCTTGCCTTGAAGTCTCTCAGATGACAGCAAACATGATGATAGTGCCTTGAAATCACAGCTGGGATTCAGAAGCGAACACAGCAACACAAAGGAAGTCTAAGATGGACTCTTTGGAATCAACTAGTCTACAGAGAACTCCTCTGCCTGCTTCATTAAAAGCACATTTCACTATGTTGAGACAACTGTGCACACAGAATTAGTACTACAGTATTCATATATATTCTGGGGTTTTTTCTGTATTTTGTCTCTGTGTGTTCTTATTTGCAGCATCTGTAAGGTGGTCCACTAGTATGATTCAAAGGCAGGCTGGGAAATCTGTTTGAAAGCAGGGTTATGTCTACATTCTGGAGGAATATGCACCTTATCCATTTCTTGGTTTTCAGAAGTCTTAAATTCAGTAATGTTCTCATTTAAAAGGAGCAGAAATGTCTTTTAAAAATATTAGATGTAGTTCAAAAAATCTTGGGAGGCATTTACTTCCCCTGTTTCATAACAAAACCTCTTTTTCTAAACAGATTCATTGGAAGGTATTTGTACAAGAAGTATTCTCCAAAATCCACCTTTGCTGAAACAAGACCAACCCTGATAATACAGAACTGTCTTCATAGCACAGTTTAAAAGAACTCAAGTCATCACATGGATTTTGTGGCACTTAAAACAGCTCATTTTTCCCACATAAAATCATATTCGACTTTAATTACATCAGCACTAATTAAATGTATTATTCTGAGATCAACATATAATTTAAGAAAACATTTCCCCTTCTTATTTGGAGAGGTTTCCACTAGCCTATATTTTAAAATGTGAATACAGTAGGCATTTGAATTGGACTGTAGGCATGGATTTCCAGGAGGCATTTGCCTTTCACTCAAATCATGCTACCAAGCATTTTAGAGTCAGCATTCAACAATTTTGATGAAAAATCAGTCAGAACAGGAAGGTCTGTGGTACTATTTTCACAGCCTGAGAAAGTGAGAATTGCTACTAGGAACTGATGCAAAAATCCTCAAACTTCTGAGATTACTGATGAGCTTTTCTGCATGACTGTCTTTCATATTTACAGGATTGTATCATGTGCCATTTACTGCTGCACACAAAATAAAAATGAGTTTTTTAACTTGTGACTCACATCATCTGATTCCCTGATGAGCTCTGTATCTTCCACTTGCACCACTGCATCAGCACCACATGGAATTGGAGCACCAGTTGTAACACGCATTACCTGACCAGGCATCACAGTCTGAGTTGGCTGAAAAATAAAAAAACCAGAAATTAATCTACTTCTGGGAAAAAAAAATTCAAACCACTTGAACTTTATGCAAGTAATCTATCTGAAAAACCAAAATTCTTATTTGCAGCATGACTCTTGATATAATGAGGGATAGCAACAGGCACAATAAACTCCAAGTCTCACTTGGCTTTATTTATATTGCCACATATTAGGTGGCTTCACTTTTTTCTCCTTATATTTCTATCACAATGATGATCTATCTATGAACAACTTTCAGAAGAAGGAATATACTGATACTCAGAAAAATACTTGGCACAGAAAAACAACTGGCTTAGAAATTTAACTGTTAGATGGTGACCTTCTGGAAACTTCCATGAACAAAAATCTAGCAGTTCTCAATACATAAATATTTTTGCAGAGCATTCTGGTCACCAGGGCTGAAATGGCTGTGCTTTGGTTGGATTTTCATTCTGTTTCGTTTTATCAGCACACTATATATGAAAAACCAACATGTAATGTTAACTGCTTAATTTTTAAGCAGATTTCCTAACACAGAGACAGCTCAATACTAGTTCACAGAGAATACCTATCTTTGTGAGGGTCAATTTAGAATTCTATAAAGTCAGAGGACATTCAAAAGTTTCAGCAGAAGTAGTACAAAGAACAGAAAAATATCAGAACATCATGAAAAAACAAATGATGCAGTTTTAATAACACTTCTAACCAGGCAGACTATTGTAATAAACATTTGTCAAAATCCAGGGTAAAACTGTAATTTCAACGTAAGAATTTAAGAAATAAATAACTAAAAAAAGTTCCTAAAAAAATGAAACTAAAAGAAGCTGATGTGATTGAGATTTTGCTGCTGGCTTCCCACAGCACTTCAGTAAGCCTGGCTTATTTAGGTTTCACCTATTTCATGTTACAAGTGTACTGCACTTGTGCTGCACACAGATCTATGCAGCTGTGGTCAGAGCAGCATATTCTGAATGTCACATGTGTAACTCATGTGCAGATTGACTCTATATTCCATATGCAGTGCTGGAATGCATCCAGCACTTCTCAAACTGTAATTAGCACACATTTGGCAGCAACCCACAGGTTGCAGGAAGTACTGCCCAGGACTGTTACCTGCTCCTGTCTAGCAGGAATTTACTCCATGACTTTGGTCAGGAGGCTGAAAGACACGACCAAACTCTAGACCACTGCTCAGCACTTCAGCTGCATAAAGCTGTTTGCCTTGCCTGTTCTTCTGCTCCATTTCAGCACTGTCATAACCTCTGAAAGGTGAGTTTTACTTTGAAAGGTGTGTGTTTCACACATTTGGGACAGAAGCCCTAGGGAAGAGGCTGGGGATGGTTTTTATCTGGCTTACCACAGTATCACAGCGACCTTCATATTCCAAGAAACAACTGAGCCTGGAATTGACTGAATCTTGACCCTTCTCTACAGGTAATGAAAATCTAATATCCTTGGAGAAGAACATAAATAAAACCCACACCTGCCATATGTCACAGTTAGTGTATTTTCAGGGCAAGATTCATGCTATCCTAAACCAGACTATTTATAAAAAAAAAAAAAAAAATTAAGAAAACAACATTTATTCCTCACCACAGACTATTCAAGGAGTTGGGGATGGAAAACAGAGATACTGCCATTTATACTAAAGCTGCTTAAAAGGGAAAATAATGCTATCTAGTGTGTCAGTCAGAACCTATGACAATAAAATATGCTACAACTAACCATGTTTTTAGAGTTTATTGTTAGATGAGTTAATTTTTTGAGATGCAATGATGTGATACATTTAAACAAATTCATGATACAATTGCTTTTAGAACTGGTTATGTTGCTCATATATTTAATTTCCTTTTTGTCTGCTGAGAATTTGATCAGATTAACTTTATGAACAAAAGTCAACCATCAAATTTATTTGTGAATCTCCAGGGCTGTGTTCCTCTAGGATAGAGACTGTGAAGATAAAGAAATGATTTCTCCTCAGAAAACATATTAATGTGCAAAAATTTCACAGTTCTTCCAAATGCCTTTGAGATCTCACTTTTACCTGTAATGGGGCAATACTAGTTTCTGTCCTTTGCCTTCATTACTGACAATCTACTACATTTTATTCACTGAATAAAACCCAGAAATAATCTACTAAGAGCAATCTTTATCTCAGGCATTTTCTCCTGCACATTATTGTCCCTCTCCTGTGTGATTTAGATCATCCATACTCCTTTCTGTAAAAAGGCACAAGTTAATGGAATGGTGGAAAATGCCTGCTTTTCATCCTATATTGTAGCTGGTTAGTCTAGGGCGTCTTACAAACACCTTTAGAAAATCTTGCAGGAAATGCTCTGGTCTATCTAAGTCTACAGAAGGAAAACCATTTTTCCTGTGTTGAGTGTGTCACCGACAGGCCACTGTGGATGGCTCGTGACCAGTAATATCAAGTGTGCCCTAACCTTCCCAAAGAAGGGTGATGTCTGAAAGTTTTCCTTGATATACAATAAAAAAAGGGCTAATGCAAACATGACCATCTGGAGATGGAAATCAGAAAATACACAAATTAAAAATTGATACAGAAACGTCTAACTTGGCTATATGGCCTCCCTGCAATTCTGAGTCCCATCTTCCTTGCTACTAGCATTTACATAACCTTTTTCCCTACAGGAGGAGCCAAATCTAAATCTATTTTGAACTGCCTGCTGTGAATCATTCTGTTAATTGGTCTGTAACATGAAAAGCAGAATGTTGCTGCTGAGAGTGACTGAAGGGTGAAATGAGACTGAGGAGCCTTCCAAGGCTATAAATAATTTCTTGGGAAGGAGATGAACCTGAAGATGTGTTTGCCCCAGAAAAAATCTTTGACCAATTATTCTGAGGTCAACAGCCTTGTTTTTCTAACTTGCCACTGGTATTTTCAGAAATAGTCTCTCTCTGCATGCCTGCTTCCCACCCAATTTTTCCTCTTTGCCAGAGAGCCTTCCTATTCCCTGTAATCTGGGAGGACAGACTGTCTCTGCAGAGAGACATTTGTGAGCTCTTGAACTTTGCAGGAGGGAAGCAGCTTCCATTTGCTCTTTTATCTTTTGTACAAACCTCCAGAACTGATTAGGACACTGAAACACTTCAGGTCTCTAATGGGAAGTACTCCCCATTAGAGACAACCTCAACACTACTGCTTTTGAGCAACACTGTGCTGTGATATTTAACTAGCAAAATGATAATATTGATGACAGGGGAATAGTGATAGAAGTGATAATTCAGTGGGTTGCTTTGCTGGTTCTTGCTATTTTACAGTGATCATAAAAAGGGTTGTAAAAATAGTTGTCAAGTCTTTTGGATTCTGGACCAACTCTTGAAAATGTAGTCAGGAAAGCTAAAAATATAAGGCAGGTTAAAAAGCCACTGAATTGATTTGCTTTTGTTTTTTTAGAATTTAAAGTAATTTTTCATATTTTGTACAACAGATCCATTAATCTAAGTTCACATGAATATCAGTACTGAGAAGGTGTCTATTATACCAAAGTATAATTCATGATGATGGATGGGACCTAAAGCAAAAATAATTTTTACAGTTCTTCCTGTCTATCATGATTAGCCAAAGTAAATGCCTATTACACATTTAGAGACAGTTCAAATTCCTGCAACTGGTAATACTTCTAAAACCTGATACAACTTTTGAAATATGTCAATTTTACTTGGACTTTTTTGTTTAGTAGTCAAAATGGACGCATTATAAAATCCTCATTAAAACTGATCAATTCCTTGTTCTACCTGTGACTTATCCCTTTCTCCATCATTTCACATACAATACACAGAAATATAAATCAGGACTTGAAATAGCTGGAGAAGCATTTTGGCCTAACTCATGTTTTCCTGAACGCAGCTGGCAAGTATGATTAAATGGATAGAATAACAGTAGTTGAACATAACTGATTATTTTTTTCTCAGTACCCCAGTATTAGCACAGAAATTTCATTAAATATGCTCTTGAGTTTGAGAGCAAATCATGAAATGCATCGGCTCATGAATATTTATTGAGCACAGCAGGTCAGAAAGAGGTCATGCCTCACCTTGCTTTTAAAACCAATCCATGTATCTGCTAAAGTGCACAAACATCCTTCTCAGAAGCCAGCCTCAAACCAGGCTGCTGCCAGGCTTCCTCAAGATTGTTCAGATTGTTACCTATCTATAAAAGCTTAATAAAAAATTTATACACTTCATTTTGCAGGTATCACTGTGAAAAATGGAAGCATCTTATGAAAACAGTTATTGGGCTGACATCCTTTAAAAATCTTCCAGCAAGAGGGGGCTAAATAATTCTTTTCTCTGCTTATGAATTGTTGTGCCACTAGAAATCTTATGTCCTCAAACATTGTACCAGGGCAGAACGTTACTGTATGCACTCCTATCAGACATGTCAGCACAGTGCTCTGAAGTATTTTGGGATATCCTTGTTAGTTCCTTATGTAACTGTACTACCTCACTTCCTGAAATCATGTCCCAAGGCACATAGCAGGAGGGTCAGTACAGCTGTGTCCTACTTCACACCACATCCAAGACTATTGAATTTTGGAGCACTAGCAAGGCTTGTAAAAATACAAAGCAAAATCTTACAGAAGAAAAACACATTAAAAAAAAAAGAGGAAAGAAATTGTGCTCACCTGCTCACCAGCCTGGGATTCCCCTATGATGAATCGATCTCCTGGGCCATCAGCAGCTGTTAAGAGGGACAACACAAATGGTAAACACTGAACACAACAAATGATGGCATTATAAACTAAGAACGGGAGAAGAGCAAAGATGATCTAATGTTTAGTTCCTCAGTATTAGCAAGACTAAGGTTGTAGAAGTTCGGCAAACATTCTTTTAGGTCCATTTGAGGTGTGTTTATTATTTTGAAAAACACAGGTTCTAGAGAACAGAGTATTTTTAACTGAAAACTTCTGGGCAGTATGAGGTCATGTAAATGAAGACTAGGAAGAATTCTATTAATAACAAAGATTTAAGGGTGTTCATGACAGTACCGCAATACTGAAAATTAGGAGTCAGAGATCATTGATTTAACAAGTCTTTAGGACTTCCAATTTAGCAAATCTGCATTTTTACAGGGACAAAGAAGGCACAACTACTACATTTAAGCTCCTGCCTGCCTCAAAGGCCTTTCAGCAAGTTGCATTAGTGGTATTAAACACCATGGTGTAAAACATGTGTGAAGCACAAGCAGCTCTGCCTTTCCAAGCACAGTAGTCATGTCGCCAAGAGTGCTCCAACAAACTGGGCTCGAGTGATCACATTGAAATCTGCATTATTATTGATTTGAAATATGTAGCTGTCAAAAGTTGATTTCCTAGAGATGAAATCTAATCAGTGACAACCTTTATCTTAATAACCTGTGTTTACTTCAGGAGCCCTGAATATACACCTAGGTAACCTTGTATGGGGAAGAACTACTTTCAGAAAGGATGTCCATTCAGTCTATGATTTATCACATTTGTACTTGTGCACTGGCTGCAGCTTTGCAGGTTGTTATCTATGGTACTTAGTCATGTTTGAAGAGTAATAATTAACTTAGCTTTAAAAGCCTATCAAATAGACTAATCTATGAGCCTTAGAGTGAACTCTAATATAAAAAAGTAGAAAAGGACCCTTCAACTAGATATCCTTGAATAATGCATGTAATACTACTGAAAACAGTTGTTAGACCTTCACCAAAAAAAAATGCACTTGGATGATCCAGCAAAAGAAGAGAAAGAAATTCCTAACAGCTAAATTATTTTAAATCTGATAAAATGCTACTGAATTAGATTTTATTCTCCCACTAATAATAATATGGAGACAAAGTTTATAGATGATGATAATGATTTAAAACAAGAAAAGGACAGGGATTTGGGCAGACATGTTATGTCACTGAAAGCTAATCCTTAATTTTTTTGTAAGAAGTATCCATTAATGTAGCCGATATTACCTCTGCCTAAAAGCTTTTTTTTTAAATATCCTAAGATAACAGGTTCACAAGAATAATAAGAATAGAACAAAACAGTATAGAATAGAACTTCCTGATAATTCAGGGCTAACCAAAATGTAAAGCAAATTATTAAAGGCATTGTCCAAATACCTTTGACACACAGGTTTGGGGCATCAACCCACTCTCTAGGAAGTCTGTTCCACTGTCTGCCTCCCCTCTTGGTAAAGCAATATTTCCTAATGTCAAACCTAACCCTTCCCTGGAACAGCTTTGAACCATTCCAACACATAATCCTCACTGGACACCTTGATCCCTTTTCCTCTGCAGGGAGCTGTAGAGAGCCATGAGGTCACCTCTCAACATACTTTTCTTCAAACAAGACAAACTCAAAGTCCTCAGCTGCTCCTCATAGGACATTCCTTCCAGTCCTTTCACCAGTTTTAGTGTCCTTCTCTGGACACATTCAAATATCTCAGTGTTACTCTGCTTGAATCCACCACTAAAAGTAGGGCTTGTGTATTGGTTCTGACAGAAATTGCTGAAAATGGTGTTCATGATCACTCTGCTCATTCTGCATGTTTACTGAGATTATACTCATGCTTTGCCTTACCCTGCAGGAATCAGGTTGCAAGACAGCATTGGCTTGATCCCAAGGCCCTTGTCACTCAGCATTCTACTCAGAGCTCCCTCTCAGCTTTTCTCAGTGTTACATTGACTGTATTTCTCTGGCTACATATGCACTTCCTTCCTGCTATTACTAGTCATTTTGGTCTGCCTGTCTCTCACACACACTCATCTTGTGGACCTGAAATTTTATTTTTATATCAAATGCATGGGGAAGCTACAGGGTGACATCCATTGCCTGGGTCTGAAGACACTCCATTTCATGGGCAGTTGCCTTCCATGGTTTCAACTGCCAGTAACAAAAAAGGTATTTTAATGTCCCTGGAAGAAAGTCGGCTATTGTGTACAAATCTCAACACGGTGCTATGATGATTCAACTGCTGCCATAATTAAATCACTACTAGTATAATGTTCAATTCTGTATATTATAAATTTCCTTCACAGACATATGAGGTGAGCACCATTATTCTTATTTTACAAAGGGAAAAACTGATGCACAGAGAAGCAACTGGCTCAAAATGATGCAGCACCTAGTGGCAAAGCAGAGTACGAATTCAGGTCTCTTGGGAAATCATACTTGCTGCTTGAAATGAAAAAAGTCACACAACTAATTTAATTTATATATGGCAGCTGCAGTATTTTCAAAATAAGAACCTCTTCTTTTGACGCATCTCCTTAAGAGAACATAATGGTTTTTTGAAAATTCTCTGATGCAATCATTATCTGTATCAGTTCAACAAAGTAATAGATGTAAAAGAAAATCCTCATTAAATCTACAACAGAGGAACAGAAGATCAATCTGTAATTCAGGAACAGGTGTCCTGTTATTCTCCTGAATTTTAAATGTTTCCAATGAATGCACTAGCAGTGGAGGTGCACATCTGGGAGCACACATGGGTGTACATTTGCTCGTGTACACTTGTATCTACCTAAAAGATCTGAACTTGGCTTTACGGTCCTCCTTCAAGCAGCAGCATTATATAACTGTGACTTCAGCAATGATCTGTAGCAAATCTAAACTAAAATAACCCCTGCTGGATCCAAAACAGGTGAATTAACATGTTATAAAGTAGCAGACACTATACTTCATGTCCACAAAGCAAGTGTTTACCTCTGACAGCATAACCGTCTTTTACTGATGCTGGAAACGGTGGTAGATTATCTTTTGCATATACATCTTGAGCAAGGACTCGCCCCATTCCATCTAGAAAAAAGAGAAAAGACCATGCTCTGTGTCATTACAGTGAGTGAAAGGGGGAAACAAAGTTAATGGCTGTGCTGTCCAATAGGAGAAATGTATGTGTATGGGACATATAGACCTCTCAGGCTTTTTGATTTTTGACACTACCTACAGGAAAAAAGACTGGAGTCTGAAAGTAATGATAAAGGATATGTTGAAGTCTGTGCTCCTGATTATGGGGAAATTGCTGACAGTAGATTTAAATGTCCAGCATCCAAGCCCGAAGGTGATAGCTCTGATTAAGGACCAGACAGAAAAACAAGTATTTGTTTCTTCAGGACAAGTTTTTCCCCTAAGATCTCTTAAATATATGCATTTTCTTTATTTTCCTTTATTTGAATTTTTATTAAATTTCATTTTGAAAAACTTGAAAAATGACATTCCAAAAGTGAATCCTGTGCACAGAAGGTGAGAGGTGATGAATTGAGAACAATAGTGATAGACCAGTTTTCATAAATTGACAAAGATGTTTTGCAATAGATTAGCTTCACTTATTTGCTGAGAGCATTTCTGCTTAATGCAGGGTACGTGCAAGTAAGTGTCAGAATTATTTATATAAATTTACACTATTATAGTACTAAATATTTTAATAGCTGTTTCAAACATACTCTTTCTCTTCACTCAGCAGCTATGACTGATGAGCTGTAATTTGGTTCAGACTCCCTGTAGAGACTGATATGAATTACTTCACCCTCAGTCAAGTGGCTGACACCAGCAAGAGCTTTTTTTTTTAGTATGATATGGAACAGAGTGGAAAATATGTAACTTGCCCCTTGATATAGTGTGAGAGAGAAAGCAGATTTATTACATGTGTGATTAGATGTACTGGTAAGGGACACATGGGTCAGAACTACTGAGACTGGCTTGTTTCCAGTATGTCTAAGAAGAAGGGAAGCCTTGCTCATAATAGAGGCCACTCTCCGAGGGCATGTTGTGGCACCAAAAGGCAATATCCAGCTGAAAGTATGATGGAGTGAGAGGATGCATGATTACTTCTGCCAGGAGAATTTGTGTGGATATGTGCTTTAGAGATTATGATCTTAGAGACACTCCAAAAAAGAGAAGTGCATAAAGTGTGTTTCTTTTTTTTACAGACAGGGAAATGCGTGTGGGCTTCACCGGGAAGGCAGAAGAGCTAGTGCTGCACACTAAATGGACAGATTTTGTTAAAAAGTGCACCTACTCGATTTGAAAACATTCAACTCCAGTGAAGTGGCATTATAATGAAGACTATATTTTACTTATTAACACAGAATGATTTAGTTAGCAAATAATTATTGTAACTATAACATCATTGTGCTCATATCCGTTGTATCAACTTTCAGCCTGAAGTTACTATTCATGCTGCAATGCCAAAAGAATTATTGCCATGAAAATGCTGCTGAAACCTGTTAAAGCAACTAAAAAAAGCACTTTTGTAATACCCATTATTTCACCTGTGCAAACCTCCATATCAGTGCCTCTGATACACAATACAGAAGTTATTAGAAAGCTCACAAAAGCTTGTACACTTAGACTGAGAAAAAGAATGCAGACACAGACATTTAAATTATAGCACAGAAAGGGCAGCTATCAAAGGCCTACTAAAAACACCCTTTGTTCATAGACACACGAAATCTCATACAAAAGTGATACTTCTAATTTTAGCAGGCATGTTGTGCCTTCATTTCGCTTCTTGTCTGCATGCAAAATCACACCAATTAGAGCAAAGTTGAACAGTAAGTTGTTGGCATACTGCCATGCAATATTTGAAAGGAATAAATGGCTAGCCAGTAATGGGAATGAGTTTCATTACAAGAAGAAAAATGTAATAATTATTTGCTGAAACAGCCATAGGCATTTAAAATGAAGCAAGTCAGCAACAAGAGGACAATCTTGAGTACCTCTGTACTCTCTTTTATTAAAGAAATTATTCTAAAAATATTGTTCGACCCTATTTTGATTAATTGTAATTCATAAAAATGTTCTTAAGAATTTTAATGCTATCAAACTGCCCCTTGTGATGCCCATAGCTTTCTGACACAAAATGGAGAATCACATTAAACTCACTTTTCAAATGTGGGTACTTGCTAAGCTCAGGTGGTGAACCTGGTAGTGTTCTGTGAAGAAGTTTGATTTCTCTGAGGCACAGCAGTAAGGCAGATCTTGCACTGGGATGTGATGGGTTTTGTAAATACTGCCCGGGTAGCACTTCAGTGTGAATGAAAAGTCAATGCTACCAAAACAATCAGTCAGACTCTTGGACTAGACTAGAATAAATGTGCTGTTCTCTGACTTAAGCTTATAAAATGCAGATTGCTTCTGCATTTTAGTTTCAGAAGAATGATCATAATCATGCTGTCTACAAACTTAGCCTTATGTGCCCATGGAGCTATACTCAGGTAACTGCATTTATTTGGAATAAAAGCCTAGCTGGGGGCTTCATACCAGATATTGATGATGACAGGTGAGAAATACGTTTCAGATGCCTTTGGTTTGTGACACTTTTGTAAAATGCTTTAGGACTGTCCATTTTTTTTTAAATGTGAAAGAGGTTAAATGATCTATGCAGCCACTGAGCAACATACCAGCATGAAAGTCACGTTTCAAAACATAACTTTAATGATCCTCTCCCTTATAGTCGGAGAGAGTAGATAGATCTGAGAGACTACAGCATACCTTGACTTAATCAAGAATAAAATCAGGACTGTACTGGGTATTTGTACAGAACAGCATTCAGTAGCTTTATTTACAAGGATGAATGCAATGAAATACGCTTAGTTTTAACTAAATCAGGTTAAATTAATTAGGCAATTAACACTCCTGGAATTTTGCACATTTCACTTTCCTTGGGGAGAAACTGTGCTCCTGAAAGATAGTTTACAGAAGCTCAGTGGCAATTCTAGACACAAAATCACAAAGAAAACCAAGACAGCACAATAGTGCTTTTCTAAATACGTCTTCAGATGTCCAGAACAGAATTTTTACAATTTTCTGAAATTAGATGTATATTACAAAAAAACCCCAATAAACAAACCTGTAACTAATTTAAAAAATGGTTATTAATTCATTGCATTCTTCAAAATTAACGTTTTTTATCAAACACATAACTGTGTGTACATGCACACACAAACACATATGTCTATACCAAAAAATTCCATGTATTTGTCTGTATAACATTATGGTGATCGCTTAAGAACTTCAGGAAATGCATTTCTGTCTTGAGATTTGTATCTGTAGATTAGGATAATTGAATTTACAGTATCACCGACACAAGCACGTCCTTTAGGCTGTCTCTTATAGGCTCTATCCTGAAATTTCATACTATATACTTGGAAATCTTACAGTGCTAAAATAAGTGTATACTACTTGAAAAACAAATTGCAAGATAAAATTTTGCACTACAGTGCAAAAATATGAAGGAACTGTTGGTATAATTATGTGAACATTGAATCAAGAATCTGTCTCTGAACCTACTAATGCTACCATCGATCTAACACTTGTGTTTTGGGTGAGATGGAAGAGGGTCAAAACTAAAGTGACTCAGCAGACTCAGTTCATTATTTTTGAAAGAACAAGAGTGCCAGGAATAACAACACATATGTTCTGAACCTAGAATCAAAACTTCTTTTATTCAATGAAGAATAATAATCCTACAGTACCTTAACTGTATCTGACATACCAAAATAAATATATGATGTGCTTATTTTTCAGGGAGGCAGATGCCAGTCTTTCATCCTTTATTTCAGGAGTTCAGGGTTGAATACATAGCATTTGTTTGGACTGAATGTACCCAACACCACAGCTCATCATATTGTTTACAAAGGGCTGTCTTAGAGGAGACATTTAACTGACAGCTACCCAAAAAGGCCCAAAAATAGTTATGCTCAGGCATTTATGCCTTAGTGCCTTCTAATCTGCACACCATTATGAAAGTGCAGGGTGTACTATGCATATTCCTTGTTGATCCAGTATTGCTGCTGTTCTAAATGCAGCATAAGGACCATTTTCTCAGAAATCCTGCTGCCAAGGCACAGGGGAGCACTGAACTTGGTGCACAACTAAATGCACAGGTGTGATATTACATACATTCTGCTAAATCAGTATGCAATATGAAGACATCTTGAAGGCTTCTGGCAGCACACAGATTTGGCAAAGAACATGAAAACTTTGAACTGTTGAATGAAAACTTCTGTCCAAGCCAGAAGACCGAATATTCCATTCACGAACCATTCATGTCTCTCTGCTGTCTGTAGCATACCAATGTCTTAACGTTTTTGTCTTTCAAGGTTTATGGTTCCACAATCTCTTTGCTCACCACCTAACTCTTGGACAATCTGGAAGAACCCCTGGAAGAGGTTTCTGCTTCCCTACCTAGTTTAGGTTTACTTGTCAGCATATTTCCTGTCATGGTTTTGTTATGTGCTGAGACCATTCTCCCAGATAACCCCTAGGCCTGATGTAAGGAACAGCAGAAGCTAGCGAGGCACCTAATAGACATTACGAACAGTATTTCAGGAAGGAGGATAGTTTAGCTGAAAAAACATGAGTGGTGCCTTGCTAATTCCTTTTAGGGCCAGAAAATCACTTCATCTATCCCTACTTATTCATGAGTATAGATACAGTCACAAAGTCACAAAGTCTGGTATTTTGCTCACTGTTTGGTGCTTTTGAAGACAACCTCACCACATAAATCAAAACCAGTTACTCTCTACAAAGTTTCTATAGATCAAACATTAAAAGGAAGTAATTTCAGAAAATGATCATGTAGTGGTAGAAAAGAAAAGGAATTGTATTTATGTGAAGATGAGGAAAATTCTGGAATTTAATTAGAAACTGGAAAAAGAGACTGAGATGAACTATAATCACCCTCATGCTCACAAAGAATCCAACTTAATAATACCTCTGTAATTGATGATTTCTGTTCCAAGCACTGGGGTCATCTCCAGAACTGTGATGAAGGCCTTGTCCATAGATGTCAATGGGAATGGTGACATGCGATGTCTTCTTGCTACCTTGGTAATGTCAACAGCACTGTGACCTGCAATGAGAAAGAACAAGTTCAAGTGTGCTACAGTGAGCAGATTTGTGTAGTGATGTTCATTTAAACCACTTTACTGAAACTAATCTGGCACTTTGGAGCAAATTAAATTAGTTATCACTATTGAGCTCTCATGTCCAACACTGGGAAGACACTGTATTCAACTAGAATCAAGAGAGTGTATATCCTTATCTATAATGAAGAGCATACCAGAAGTCTTGATGAGCATGAAAAGATTGGTTAATCTAAAACAGCAGCCCTTCCAGGTGATGGAGTAATTTACACTGAGCATGACAATCTGAGACTAATTCTGTTCTATGAACTCAGGACAATTCACTGCATTCTGTTCCACACAAACACAACTCAACATGCCGTGTGCACAGATACAGTGCAACAATGGACACTGTGCCAGTGAGCCTACAATCCAAGAGTGAGATGGCAGTCAAAAGGTTTGAAAGGAACATCTAGAGAGCACAATGAAGCCACCGGGCAGTCCAGCCAGCAGACACTGTCTCCAGCTAGTGGGCATCCTACCCATTGTCAAGGTTTTGTCGTCACCATAGCAAAATGTCATTTCAATGTATGATTGGAATGGAGGCAGTAGGACGACTTAAGGAAAGCTTGTTTTTCCTAGGTGTGAGGCCCAGGTAGGGAGAAAATATGACAGAAGTTGATTGAAAATGAAGCCAACAGCATGTTTGATTTCATGATAATTACTGAGAGATTAAACAAGGGGACAACAAGCTTTGAAGGATTTTACAAGTGAAGATAAGCAACTGAAGAGAGAACTATTGCAGGAATACATAAACAAGAGTAACAGATATAAACCAAAAGCTTAGGACAATTACAATTGCAGAGTAACTTGAAAGGGTTTTCCTAGAACAAAAAGGTATTTACGAGAGCCAAAGGGGATGATGTTCTATATGTGATATGTAATGATATTCCTAAATAACATAAATTACAGTACAGAAACTAATTTTAATGACACGTTTTGCTTTGAAGTCACTACATAAATATCTCATTTGATGCTGCACATGCCTTCAGATTCTGGAAAAAAACAGATTATTGCTTGAAGTATAGTCTTCTAATAAAAAGCTAGTAAAAAATGGCACAACAATTACGCAGTCTAAGTCCTTCCTTCAGAAGAGGAGGTTTCTTAATTAATCTATATACACAATACTTGTTCAGCACTAACACACACTTGCCTTTTTATGTGAGAGACTGTTCGCTAATTATTTTTTACTATTAACACAGTAACTACCTTTCAGAGGAAGAAGTAGAGACAAGTAAAACTGCCCATCTAATTCTTCCATGAATGATTCTGGAAGAAATTATTTGAATAATCTCTTTGTACTTACTTAGAAGATAGCATGATGAAAAAAGCAGGCACTGTGAATTTGTCTAGCACAAATAATTTCTAATTAACTTAATTCTTTTCCTTAAGATAGCAGTTGGCATTTTGAGGAAGAGAGAAACAGCTGATGAGACATTTTCTAAATATATTAAGACTTTGCAAACTCTTAAACCTAACTTTCTCATAAGAAAACTAGGGAGAAATGATCCAAATTAAACTATTTTAAGATAAAAGTGTAACAAATGGAAAAACTGCATTCCTGGTTTTAACAACGGGGATCTCCCTAGCAAGGTTACATTTCCAGTTATTATGCCTGGGTTTTGTTCACAACATCATTAAAGAGGAAAAGGAAAGCATTTGTGAAATACAGTTAAACTTCCCATACCCGCCTCTGCATGGAGAAGGAAACCCTTCTCTAGCAGCACTGTTATTCCTGCAGGTCCAGCAGATTGCACACAATACATGCTGAAAAATTTTCCTGATGTTTTAAGTTGGAAAATATGAAGGAAGATGCTAAGAAAAAATACATCACAGCAATGAAAGCTGAGGGAATTGTGTGGCAGTGAACAACCTTTACGATATTGCCACTAGATGCTTTTACTGCTTCTAGCAGTAATTTCACTATTACTTAAAACTCACTGTTAGCTACTGCAGAAACTCACATTTCACCCCTTTAAACCTTAAAAAGTGATAGAATTTGCAGGTTTTGAATGCTTTGAATGGTCCCCAGAGAACAACTTTCAGATTCACAAGTCTGTCCCTAATGCATGTCATTTGCTTATGTCAAAGGTTCTGTTAAAATCTTCTGAGAAATGCCTTCTCCAACACAGACCTTTTGAAAATAGATAAAATTCCCTAATCTCTGACATCTTTTTTCCAACACTAAAAGTAACACTCATTATTTCTGCAAGAAAAGCCAAGAAGGTTTAACACTAGCATGAATAACCATAAAGAAGAAAGAAGGAAAGATGCTGGTGTAACTACTAACCTTTCTCTCTCCCACTTCTTCCTACATACAAATGCTAACTCTTCTATTAGAGGTATCACTGATTTAAATAGAGCCAGAGACAAACAAATGATTTTTTTAAACTGTATAATTACTAAATAGTACTTTGATTACAAGCAAATGACATTAAACAACTCCTCAGACTTTACCAAGTTATCTTTCACTAATGTGGAATGTCAGGTCTAAAAATAACTACTTAACATTAAGCTGCATTTTGTACGACAAAATAATCCTCTAGCTTTGAAGCAGCCAATTCAATTGGTTGCATAAGGTAGAAAATTCTTGACAGCCTGCTCTTTTACCACCAAAACAACTTCCTAGTCCTGTCATTATACATATATATATATACACACACACACATATGGTGGATCAAATTTTAGACTAGAAAAGATTCCCACAACACAAAGAAAAATAATTGTGCAAATTAAACTAGACATCATCTGGATCAAATGTGAATTCTTAACCTATGCATTTTTTGGTTTGGTTGTATGTAATCCAACATTCAAATTAATGGTGAAGTATGAAAATAAAAATAATGTATATTCAAGTTGAGATTTTCCATTTTTATTGTCTTTGAGCGTTAATTCTTGCCCATAAAGGCTGCACACACATGATGACTTAAAACAAAACATCACAAACAACAAAGACCTCCACGTCATCAGAAAAACAACTTGGAAGAATAAATTAAAAGGTGACTCTCCATTAATATATGAACACTTTGAGCTATTTACAGTTTTACCTTTGGACTGGATTTCACTCTCTTAAGTTATTAAATTTCTGCTGCAAACTCATTTAATCCCACTCTCTGATCTATCACTTGCTGTTCTCTGAGTAGTCTTATTTCCTCAATCGAGCTACAAAGTTTCTGCACTTACTTGCTCTGAGGATGTTCTCCTTGCTGCTGCACCTAGACTGGACCTGCAGAGAGAGCACAGAGTCTATGAGCTACAGAAGTTAACAAGAATGCAAAATACAGAGATAAAATGGGCAAGCTCCTGGGATCTAAGACAGAGGCTATACATATTTTCAGCAGCATTCTTACATATTTTGCATGAGGTAAGTATATTTAAGCAGAAGGGTAGTAGTTGATGATCAGAATCTGATACAAGCAACTTGATTCCACACCCCTTCCATAAGAAACAAGATGGCCTAAGGACAGTAAGTGAGAAAAAATCAAAGAACAGTGCTTAAAATTATGTGTTAAGCTTCAACAGAAAATCCACATCTTCTTATACAGCTGTAATTACAGTAGCTCTGAATCTAGATCCTGTTGGATGATTAGACAGATTACTAACGAAAGTATATGACCCAATTTAAAATTCTATTGCTGATATTTTCAAGTATTGAGAGTTTAAAATATTAACTTTCAATTATGTTGATTCTGAAGATGTTTTATGAGAATTCTTCACAATTGTATAAGTGACACACAGCTGTATAAATGGCTCCTGGATGGAGCTGATAAATTTACTCTGCTGTTCCTATCTGGTTAAAAAAAATGTTGTGTTCACTATGAATTTTGTAGTGGAATTCTACTTTAAAAAGCAACTGTGTGAGAATGACATGTTTCTCAGCAAACCCTCTTCCCTGATGCTTAGCTACCACTGTGCTATTCCAGATAAATTGATCTGACTACAGGGAAACTGGACACTTGCATTGGTCTAATATTCTGGTAACATCGGATATTTACAATTCTGTTTACCATACAGATTTAAAAAAGAATTGGTTTTTATTTTAAAGAGTATCAGCCTTGTAAACACAACACAGTTTAAATTTTATCTGTAGGGAAGCATCAATTCTTGTTAGTTCTCAGGTTTGGAAAGACAGCACCATGTACAATAACCCTGAAGTTGCAAGTTTTCAGATGGACTACTGTCAGGCCAGAAGACTGAACTGTCAGCACTTGAATAAAAAGCATTTTGTGTGGACAAAACCCCAGCTAAAGTAAACTTCACAGGAAGACAAATGTCTGAGACAGTAAGAACTGAATTCCTGTCTTTTTTACTTTATTGACAAAGATATTTTAAATTTCAATGAGAATACTAATAAAGTAAGTGTGCACATGTAGCGGAAGAAGTGGAATAGCACAGGTGATGCTGAGGGTGTAATTTCCCAGCAAAACATCTGTCTCTGCTGCAAAAGCAAAGGACTCAATCCAGATTATCTTTCAGACCTCGCTCTTCACTTCCAGTCACAGAAAATTTGCCTAGGAAGTGAATATATATGATCTAACAACTGGTAAAGAATTATATACCCCCAGCTGCTCAAAAGCTGTCTTCACAAAGGAGCAACCATTTAAGGCTGAAACAAACCGTGCCCCAGCTTCTAAACCTCTTTCTTCTGGTCCACAGCAGCTTGCCCCAAATAGATAGTCACATAAAAAAACTGGATTCTACAGCGCAACACAATCTACTTATTGTAATGGAATAACTTATGGAAAGTAATGTTGCAACTTAGAGTGGGTTATGGTGTCCTTCCCTGAAAAAAACTCTTGTTTAACAAAAACAAACAGAAAAACCCCACACCCTCCCCCCTTCCCACCAAAAATACTATACAAGGAAACTGCAAACAAAATATTAATGATGCCCAAATTTGGCCCAGAGTTGTTTTACCAGATTTCAAAGGCATAAAATGAACTCTCTTTGAAAGAAGTAAATATTTACCTATAATTTACCAAAGGACAATTCTGGACCAAAAAAGGTGGTATAATGGCAGGAAAGAAAACACAAAAGAAAGAGAAGCACAGTTTGAGAGGGAGAGAGAAGCAGGATGGATGTGGCAAGGCAGAAGATGGTGAATGCAAAATGAGACATGGGCCTATGTGTGTAAGACTACTGTTTAATATGGAAGAGGCTCTCTTATTTCTCACTGAAAAACATGAAAAGAGAAAATGAGGAATGGACCTGCTGCAAAATAACCAAGCGATTCAGCAACTGTGGAATGAAATTCAGTGAGATAACACAGTCCTAAAGAAAAAGGCAAAAAACCAAAAATACAAAACACAAACATTTGAAACAATCTACTAAAACAAACTAAGTAAAATATGTGATCCAAAGGACACAGATAAAAGCTACTAGAGAAGGAGGAAAAATGTTAGCAGACAAAGACAGTGCTAAAGAAGTAAAATGGAAGTCAAGAGAGAGTCTTTCAACAAAGTGGAGGAACAGAAGGAGCCCAAACCCATAGCGCAAAGCAATGTTTGCGAATGGAAAACAGCTCCTTTGAGCAGTAATAGTTACTCTCGAGTTGTAGCCTCTATTCCTCCTCAGTTCATCTTTAAGCCCTTCCAACCTATAGTGGAGCTAGTGTATGGACAAAAACAAGAGATTTATAATGAACAGAGCAGCTGAGATTTGCAGATCAAATCTTCTTATATAAAAAACGTGCTGACAAAGTTTTGCTCTTAAAATGTCCAAATGACAATGGTAACAAAAGACAGCTGGCTTCAACATACAGCCTCTTACAGGTCATTTTTTTAATTCTGTGCACACAGAGGACTTCATATTTACTTTTTGATTTCTTACACCCAGCCTAAAGTTTCCATGTCATCACTCACCTGATGGGCAACATATGCAGTATGAGAAATAATTTGCTTCCCACAAATTTTAAAAGCAGCTGTGGAAGAGGAATCCATGATAATAAAATAAAAGGCTTGATCAGCTAGACTTGATCGTTTCCCAACCTATGCTCACAGCTGCAGAATACAAACCATGGTTTAACATAACTGACATCAAAATTAGCTATTACATAATACTTCTGTTTAATATGAATCACACATTTTTATCCTAAATGTTATTTTTAATCAAAACTCCAGGAAAATGATTTTGAATAAAACCCACCAGTTTCCTAACACATACAGTTTTGGCAGCAATGGAGCTTTTTATAAATAGGGTCATGTGCTTTAAGTGTCTTTTAAAATATTCATTATTTGCATGTTTTACTACTTTGTTATTTGTGACATTTATAAAAAACCTGTATTCTTTTCACAGCTACTGTTAACTGAGGAATCCATGCTACATTGCATGTAGTACCATGACTGACTGGGGAGAGTTATTATTAGGAGAATTTACTGTAATTCTTATTCACAGGTAGTTACAGAAATAACCTATGGCTGTCTTTTCCTTCACAGGGAAAATATAGATTTATTGTTTGTCCATTCTACAGCCTCTTGGCTCACAATCTATCTTGGCAGAAGATACACTGGGCTACCAGCCAGTACCATTCCCCTGCATAGTTCAGACAGAACGTAACGAAACCCAAAGCATTCAGTTCACATTACTCCGTATTTTAAGAAAACTGGATTTTATGTTCTTGAAAATGTAACTTCATCATGCTGGAACACAGAGTAAGCTTTCTCCCAGAGGCTGAAGTAGTAAATAGAATGTGAAATAAAGTACTTAAAAATAAATAAAGGGAATGGTAAAAATAAAGAGTCCTGCAGGAACTTCTATCTGTCATGATAGGTCTGAAAAACAAAATCAGTGACTGTACTAAATTGGATTAATTTAAATTTACATAATATGTTTTGCTGCAAATAAAAATCAGTCTAAAAAAATCAAGAAAAATAGAGAAAAACACAAAGAAAAGTTCATGCTACAAGTGAAAAATTCATGTGAAAAATAATGAAAAAAGAAAACTGAGAAACCCTTTAACGCTCTATCATGACTGTTAGGAATTGTTAGAGAAATTACTTACCTTTTTAAAGTCATAACAAGATTAGCACAGAGTATTAAGTCAGCTCTTCATTATGGGAGGTACAATTAAAAGCCATTGGTTATAATAAAACAAATTGCTAGACGAAGATGAAGAGTTTCCAGCCCAATATGAAAAGCTAACTTTCACGGGAGTACATTTTAACTCAATATTACAACATGAAGAACAATTCAGAACAGTGACATCAAAACATGAATTACCACCAACAGAAAGAGCCCATTTCTCAGGAACACAGAGCCTGCAGGAGGCTGACCCATAACCTTTAGCACTTATGGGAAAGCACATTGCTCCACTCTGAGGAAAGCATGCAGAACGTGGAACCACCAGCAGAAACCCAAACATAGGCAGACACAGAGGACTAAGGTACAGCAGAGGGAATGAACTCGCCAAGCTGTAATGAAGGAAGCAGGGTAAGCAAAGCACAGCAGCTGTTAACAATTTCAGAACCGTGTTCTCACTCTCCCCAACACCAGGCAGGCCTGTTGAGGAGGTATTGCACACCTGCTGCACTTGCTCCTGGTGAGAAAGTGCAGAACTCATGCAGCCTCCTTAAAACTTCAGCAGCTTTATGAGGACAAGGTATCTGCTGTGATGTGGGAAAGTATGCTGCTGCTGCTTTTGTTCTGCATGTGATTTATTAGTAATTTCATGACCTGAGGTCTGGACCATATACACCGTACTCGTGCCATTTGAATGGTCTCTGGAATATCTGCCTGCTTTAAACAAATTTCAATCACATGTGATCTGATTTATAACTGTAGGAGTTTGCACAGTGTCTTCTGCCTAAAATACCTTCTTATCCTCTAAGAGTGCAACATACATTATCCAGTGTCTCTAAATAAACAGATAAGAGAAAACTAAACCATGAATAACAATGTCTCAAGCTGCTCTGATAATACTTATAAAAACTGATTTTGGTGTGGTGTTCTAAGCAATATCCGTAAGGTTAAACTAGGAGCAAATTAAAAAATGCAGTGAAATACAATGTTGATTTCATTAAAAGAACTGTGTTAAATCTATCCTGAGGAACAGAGAGAATAGCTTTGATTTAATTCATATGGAATATAAAAATAAAATTATTATAAAAACATTCACAAGAATGGCTTGGGTTGGAAGGGACCTTAAAGATTGTCTAGTTAAAAAAAAAAAGTGTATCTGGAATTGTGTACTTCACAAAACATTCAATAAAGTTTGTGAGGATTAAAAAA